TAATTTTTTTTTCTGGCTTGAGTACAAAAGCCCTTTCCCAGTTCCCACTTTTTAATAGTTTTGACTGATAAGAAATACCACCCTAAACCAAGCAATATAAAGAGATTTGCTGCCTTGAAACTCACAAGTCGAGGGGTTTGTGAAGTCAGTGATGTCTGCAGCCCTCAGCTGTCTGGTTCCTGCAGTGTGCAGCTCCTGGACTGTTATGGAGATTGGTGTTTGTCACCTGAAAGGGGTTAATTGTCATGTGGGTCAGGAGGGGTTTGGTGCTGCAGAGAGTGTGCAGCCACTGTACTAAAGTGACAAAAGGTTGTTTGGTCCCTGCTGCCCTCAGGTACACTAGAAGGACAACTGGCAAGAGGTTCTTCACGGTTTTAATCCTCCCTTTGGCAAGTGGTAGATCACCCAGAGACAGATGCACAGCACTTAAATCCTGCTGGCTCTCGAGCTGTGTGGCTGGTGCCTGCCCTGCCGGAGCCAGTTTGTCTCCAAAGGTAGGACTGTGTGGCTGTGGTTTGGGTTAGTGTGCACATTTGGCAGCCTCAGCCCCTGGCCCAGAGCTGCCCAGCAGCCACTGCAGCCCTTGCCTGGCTGGCAGAGATGTCCCCTTGGGTTGTTGCTGGTGTTGAAGAAAATGGAGTGGCTGGTCCAGCTGTGTGAGTGAAGGTCAGTCTGCTGCAGGTGTGTGTTGTTACAAGAGCAAAAGAAAAAGCCTCTGAGCAGAGGACTTAGTGTTTGTCAATCTAGACCTTCACCTGTGTGTCTGCAGATCTACACGGTTTAAGTTCTGCATTTTAAATCTCTAGCACTAAGACTTTTCCATGTAAGAAGGGAGATTTCATCTCAGTCCCCTTAGTGTCTTCCCCTGAGTGCTTGTATTGTGGGAGTAGCTCACCCACAGGATGCAGTTTGAGGGAAGAGAGAGAGGCGAGGGTCAGGCTGAGAAGAGGATGTTGGCATGTTAATGAGAAGCAGCGGGCAAGATTTGGGCTTCCTGTGGCTCCAGGCAGCAACCCCAGGCCTGCCTTCAGAAGCAGCCTTTTCATGTCGCTGCCCTTCATGCTGCCCTTCAGTGGGACAGCTTCCCAAATATGGGCTTGCTGACTTTCTGACCAAAATAGCGGCTGCGTGACAAAATGCAGCACGGAGGAACGTAACCTTAATCCAGGCATCATTGTGTAGCAGGAGACAGGAATTTTGTGAACTTCCAGAGCAGGTCGGTGTCAGGTTTGTTGTTGTCTGCTCCCTGCACACATGGTGGTCCCACGGGACACTGCCCTGACATCAGCTGACCACCTATTGGATTTTCTAACCCTGTGGCAGCTCAGTTCATGGCTTCCCTCCTTGTCGTCCAGGTTGCCCGAGCCCAGAAGGAAAACCTGCAAAGGGGAGTCTGTGCTGACATTGCCCTGTGATGAGTCTTCCTCCTTTTTTTTTTGCATTGTGAAATCATTTAAGTCCTGTTGGTGAAGTGAGGCTGGAGATCCCATTTAGGAGCATTACGTATACAGAGCCCAGGAGGGGGAACTGGCAGCTGTGGCCCACTTGATACTATTCCCATTATGCAGAGCTGTGTCATCTTTGACATTTAAAAACTTCAAAACTCTCGTGATTAAGTGCTTGGTATCCTGCAGGAAGCCAAAGAGCTTGAGAGCATCTCAATGCTTAATGACTCTTAGACATCTCATGCTTGCTGCTGCTGTACGTCATACTTGCTGCAGATGATTTCTCCCCTGTGCAATTAAGAGGACTCGTATCAAGTTTCCAGTTTGGCTCCTTTCTTTGCTTCGATTTGAAAAAAAAAAAAAAGAGCAAAGGGCACGTAACCAAATACTGAATCAGCTCGTTTGGCAAAGGTAGAGCCATCACAGTGAAAGCCAAGAGCACAGAACTGGGGAGGAGAAATCAAAGCCCTGCAAAATGCTCTGATGAGGGACAGCTTTCACTGGCGACGTTGATGTTCACCATGAAAATGAGAAGTAGGGCTGGATACATGTCCCCCTTTATCGCCTTTCAATAGTGTAGTCAAGGAAAAGCAGCAACAGAACATGAGTTCTGCTTTGCCCAGGTTTCAAGGCTGTTGCAGGTGTTCCTACACCACAGTGGCTTTGGCATGGTGGAGTGTTTATCCGATGTACCTTAGCTCATGTTACATTGCCACTGCCCTGGTGGCAGATTTATGGCTGTAAGCAAGATGCAGAGGTTTCATTAGGGCAGTGTGTACAGAATTTCCTCAGATCTTGCTGCAGTCACTTGGTTCATATAGCAGTTTTATTGAGGGTTGAAGAGAGGCTTCAAATATGGTGATAAAGCTGAAAACCTGGGCAGAAATTAAATCTGCTGCTAGTAAAGGCAAGCAGATCAAATGGCCTGGGAACTGTGGCTCTGTCCAGTTGCACAGATACATGGACTACTCAGAGTGGTTGTCATTCATCATTAGCACATCCCCCTCTGTGGGGGCTTCAACCAGGCCAGTCCTCTTCTGGTGACTATTTTTTCAGCCAGCTCACCCACTCACCGGCCTGTCATGTCATGTTACATTCCTCGTGCAGTTGTTCCCGTGTTTTAGCCAACAGTGAAATCCACCCACAGCTCCTCACCCTGCAGCATTTGCTGTCTGGCTCTGTGAGGACAGTCAGTGTGTTAAGGCAGACCAGCCCAGCAGCAGTTTTTGTGGCTCCCTGCAGAGCGTGGTGACCTGCTGGCACCTCTGCTCTAAGGACTGAAAAAGCCTAAATAGTCCCAGTGTTTCTGCTCTTCTAGCGACAAATTTCAGCTGCTACAAGACCTTTGTCCTCTTCCCCCAGCCACCACCTTCTCTGTTTTACTCAGAAAAGAGTAAAGGCAGCCAGTGAGGCCGTGGTGTGCCGCTGCCTGTGCCATTGAGCCAAGGGGGGAGAGCCAACACACAGACCCAGGTGGCTCTTTCCAGTCATCCTTTTCCCTGGGTCACAGCACAGTCCAAGCCACCAAGCTGACTTGAAGGAAAGGGGTTAACCTTATTTCTTCTCTTATTCACTCTTCAGGGATCCAAACCCTCTCAGTAAGCAGTGGAGAGCATCTTGGAGAAGTCCTTTTTGGATATTGGGATTTGGACAGGACAGAGGAGGATAATGGGGCTGTCAGTGATGCTTGATGTGATGTGAGTGCAGGAGTGGGTTGCCATGGGTTGGGTGGCCGTGGATGTGGGGACAGTTGGTGTCACCTTGGCTTGTGGGTGAAGCCCAGGTATTTGCAGCTCTCTGGAGGTTTCCATCTCTGGGGTAAAACACTTTTCAGCTCTGTCCTCATAAGCAGGTCTCAATGCAAAACGACTTCTGCTGATACACTGGGGAGGTGGAAGGTGTTTGTTTTTGATCTCTAGGCTACAGATTCATTGGGAACAGAAGAGTGTAACACCTGGGAGCATTTCCAGTCACAGGGTTCTTAGCACATTTCCATGTCTGCTGGTTTCTGGTGCACCTGGAGTCCTGCTGAATCCGCAGTAGCTATGGCATTGAGGGCTTGGGACTCTCGGGGAGACCCCTCTGGGCACATCAACCAATATCTGCATTAGGAGTCTTCCCAAAATACCCTGGGTTTTAAGGACAATCAGCTGGTCTAGCTGACAGATTAATTTTCTGTTTTCCTGGTGTTACAAGACGTGGTTGAGCAACAGATTTAGTGCTTGTTGTCCAGAGGAAAGATGCAGCCATGTCCTTCCAAACAATCGACAACCACTCTCATGCCTGTTTTCACCTCAGGCCCGTTTGTCCTGAATTACAATATTTCATTATTGCTTTAAATGAGAGTGAGTGTCACGGCAAATACAGCTGCTCAGGGTGTTATTTCCACAGAGAGGGGAGAAAAAGCTGGTTTGTGAGAAAGGCAGAAGGACAGTGCAGTGGACGTGGGGCACTGGCATATGGCAGTGTGGCCACCCAGGGCTGAGGGCAGCATCGCCCTGACACAGCCTCCCGCCGTGCCCTGCCAATGTTTATTTTGCTTGGGTAAACGTTTGATTTTAGCAACACGACTGCAATGTGTGAGTTGTGCTGGGGCTGTAATTCGATGGGAGGAGGCAGCTATGTGCAGGGAGAGCTGCTAATGCCGCAGGAATGCTGCGCTTCCCTGGGATGAGAGAAGATGGTGCCTGGGGCCCCTGGGGACAGCTCGGCTCCTTGGCCCTGCTGTCACCCTGCGCCTGGGAGCTGAGACCCACAGTGGGGTCTTGCCTTGCTCAGGGCCTTTGTGGCCCAAAGGGATGTGATTTCTGAGGGAAAACTGGGTGTTTCACTGATTGCAATGAGGCTCCCACCCAGGGCTGGAGGGAGGACTATGAGGTGCCATGGGGCTCCTCACCAGGCTGGATCAGACAGGAAGGAGGCACCCAGTCAAGCTTAGGAATGGCTTTTATTCGTATTTCCAAGGAAAATTGAGGTCTTCTTTCTGCATGTGCCACAGGGTGACAATCAGGATGGCAAGACGGGGTGTCCTGTCAGGATAGCAAGGTGAGAGTAGGGAGGAGAGGTACTGTCCCTCACCCATGGATGTCAGTGATGGCCTAAGTGGTTTGTAATTCACATTTCTTTGCTAAAATGCTGCTGATGCTCCAGTCAAGTGAGCGGGCACCACTGCCAGCTCCCGAGCCTTCTCACCATGGCAGGGGTGAGGAGATGACAGCTCCCCACCAAGCAGGTGGCCCTGTTGGATGGACTTTGTCACTGGGCTGGCAGCAAAATACTTCCTTGGAGAATTAAAGCGCCAGCTGTGATGTCACTTTGCCAGAAGTGGCCCCAAGGAGTGACCCCATTAGTCATGAGCACACGACCGGGGTGAAGCTGTCACTAAACCTCTAAGGAAAGACTGTCTGAGGCACTGGGTATTAACAGGTTTTATTTCCCCCCAGCCACCCTTCTCAGCACTCAGTCTTCATGCCAGTAGCCAGGGGATTTAAGTCAGGGAGATGAGATGCAGAGCTGGAGGGGTTTAGGAGATTCGAGCTGTCCATCGGGCCTCAGATTTATTCAACCCCCTTCATAAACTCCAGGAACTCTGCCAAGAGGAAGACATTGGAGACAAGAGGTGTGAGGTGAAACCAAAGTGCCCTCGCAGCTGCCAAGTGTGCTCTTGGCAGTTTTCCCCAGCCCTGTCTCCTTTTCCAACCCCCCAACATGCAAGAGGCCGAGGGTGGATGGCTACTGCTCCTCTGACTGTGGCAAGGACTCCTCGTGACTCCTGCTGGAAATGTCACTGGAGCCCTGCGCCACCCTCAGCTGCCACCAAAACACTGAGGGTGAGTGTCCAGGGAGGGACACAGGTGCTGACTCAGCTTGGAAATGGTCTGGGGGTCATTTTGGCAGCACCACATTCAAAGTTATGGCATTTTGGAAATGGTGCTTGTGTTGAGAGGGTAGGAGGGGACAGGCAGGTCTCTGGTGAAAACTGGCAGTGCTTCAGTGCAGGCTGGCTTTCATAGCATGGGGACAGTGAAGGCAGCCCCAGGTTCCTGCTACCATTTCACAAGCACAAGAAACCCCCTATCCCTCTGCACACACACTGCTGTCAGACATATTGCCCAGCAGTGTCTGCATGAGCTCGTGCCCATCCAAGAAGGCAACCAAGACCATGGCAGCTGCCCAGGGCTCCCTCAAGGGCTCATGACCAAACCACATGCAAGAAAGAGTCCTACCATCATAGTCAATCCTGCCATCATTGTTTTTATCCCCATCTTTCATGAGTTCTTCTATGTCATCCTCGGTGATGGTCTCTCCTGTCGCCTGCAGCATGATCTTCAGCTCCTCGAGGTCGATGTAGCCATCAGCGTTTCTGTGAGGGGACAGAAGAGCTCAGGAACAGACAGACACACCGGGGAGGGGGAGTCGGGGTGGTTGCACCCCTCCCAAAACCCTGCCATGGTCATGGCTCTTACTTATCAAACATCCTGAAGAGGTCTGAGAGTTCCTCTTCGGTTTTTCCTTTGCTGTCATCTTTCATACACCGGACCATCATAACAAGGAACTCATCGAAGTCTACGGTGCCGCTGCCTGCAGGCAGAATAGACACCATCAGCTGGTGCTACGGTGAGTGGATGGGCAACACCAAGGAGGGATCACACTTCCCTTTGGCAACCAAGAATCAAAACTCAGGAGAGCAGCTCTGCAGCAAGAGGCAGTTTTCAAGACGCGGGAGGCCCTGCTCTGACTCCATCACTGAATTTTTACCTTTTGCAGTCATTTTGCCTTGGCAAAAATCTTTATGGAAGCACTGATGAATGGAAATTCCTGCTATGGAGATACCTGTCCATCTCACCCAGGTATTAATAATAAAAGCTCCAGAAGGCAGGTATTCATGCCAGTGTGGTTTTGCACCCACAGTACAGTACTGTTGTTTTCAATGAGACAAGTGTTTTCCTTTTCTGCCTGATTTTTAACTGCTTTTTTTATTTTCCAGTTATTTAGTATGGTATTTCTGCCCAAATGCACATGGTGGATTTTGTTACGTGTGATCACCAGTACACTGATTTAATCAATATTGACAGTTAGTTATGTGGGGTTGTGTACACTCGAGCAGTGAGAGACTTTCCTGATGATAGAATCCTGTAACTATGGCACTTCTGAAATGGCAGTTTCTACATTCAGCCTACATTTTGTTTTTTAAATGGATCTATGCAATTTCAGAGTACCCCCTCAAAATCAGTTCAAGCAGTCTGATCATTGTAGGAATAATAATTTTTATAGTTTCTCTTTGCCTGAGAATTTCCTAAAGGAACAATGCTGCAGTTTGGTGGGTGTTTGGTGTCCTTTGAATTCACAGCACAGCAGGTTGCTCCCTACAGCTGTGACTCCCCAGCATGGGTCCTGCTAGTGCTGCACAGATGGCCCCCATACCTCCAGATGTGGGGATGGTGCTTGGGAGAGTGGAAGAAACCCAAATCTCTCACCGTCCTCATCCACCTCGTCTATCATCTCCTGCAGCTCCTCGGGGGTGGGGTTCTGCCCCAGCATCCGCATCACCTTCCCCAGCTCCTTGGTGCTGATGCAACCATCCTCTGCCCCCAGCACGAAGATGTCAAAGGCAGCTTTGAACTCTGGAGAGAGAAACAGAGAGAGAGGAGATGTGGGGGGATCTTGTTGTGCACCTCGACCCTGCAGACAGGTGGCCTTGGGGGCAGGGGGCTCGTCCCAAGCACAGCCTCCCATGCCCCTCAGCACTGCCTGGGCATGGCATGGTGGGACACACACACTGCCTTGCTTGAAATCCTGGTGGATCAAGATCCCTGGGTCATGTCCTGCCCTGGACAGCCTGGCCAAAGTGTTTTCCAGGCTGTCATTGCTGAGGCAGGGGCTGGGGAGTTTGTCTCTAAGCTGCGGTGTCAGGTTCAAGTTGCACCTACCATTTTTTTGCTCTTCTGTCAGCTGCTCAACCTGCAAGGAAAACACAGAGACCAAGTAATTTTTCTTTGTCAGCATCACTGACAGGACACATTATTTTTTCAACAGCCGTTGCAAAGATCAGCCAAGTCTGACAACAGTCACCCTCATGTATAAGGGGATGTACAGCCAGTGGGGTTTTGACACCACAACTTTTTGTCTAAGAGATTATTCCCCTTAAAAAAACAGTTATCCCCATCTCCTTTGAAGCAAGCATCACTTCTCTAGAGTAGCAGCTCCTAATACATGGCAGAAATAGCCTTTGCACAAGTAGGGGAGACCCACTGGGGAAAAGAATTTGTCTCCATCAACAATTTGGGATAATTTCTTTTTGTTGGCAGGCTTTACCACGGGATGGCTGCACTGCTGAGGGCTGTTCACATGTGGGCTCTGCCCAGGTCAGAGGTGGGATGTGCTTGAGAGGTCCCTGGGGAGGGAAAGGTGGACAAGACCATTCCCAGTAGTTGTTTTTCAGCCCTAGATTCAGGAAACTGCCTGCACTACCCAGAGCATTAACTGCTTTACTTTCATCTGAGTCAGTGTTTTACAAAGGTTCTTGACTCTAAAGAGTGCTGCTATTCCCTTTAGCCTGTTTTGGGAATCTCCCTGAAGAAATAGCCTGTGGAGCCATTAGGCATTAGCTGAAATGGGCTGGCAGATTGTTCCTAAACTCTGCCCTAATTCAATCCCCTCAGACCATCAGTGGGAGCTTATTAGTATGAATTAACAAAAATAATCACTAAGGAGAGCAAAGAGGAATCAGTGAGCTCTGTGCCATACCTATCTAAGTGCATTTCTCTCTTTGGCTTCATTCCTGCCTGCAGGTACTGCTTATCTAAAATTGCTGACCACCACCATGTCCAACTGCCCCTTTGGCAGCATCCATGAAAACACTGACTCTTCCTTCCTATGCTGGTCAACAGCCTCTCTGGAGCCAGCCAGGTATGACCCCTCACCTGCACAGAGGGTGTCTGACCCCTCTAAAGTCTCCTTGCTGCCATCCCCGTGCAAACAGTCCCCAACACCCATCCCTGCCATGTTTTGGTTGAGGCAAAACCCCACAATCCCGGGTTGTGGCACCTTGTCTTTGAGTGAAAGCTGAGTCCTTTGACCCCAAAGAGCAATGATTTTGCAAAAGCCAACTGGAAAACCTTCCTACTTGCAGCAAGAGGCAGGGAAAGTACTTTTCCTTAGCAGGACAGAGCCTGTGGGAAGCAGCCAGAGAGCCTTTATCCTGCCCCCCTTGCACCAGGAGGTGAAGACTTTCAAGTCAGGAAGCGCAAAGGGTGGTGGCAGGATTTTCCTCCACTGCTGGAGGAAACCCAAGCCCACTTTTGTCCCTGGTGCTACTGAAGGCAGGCAGGCAGCAGGCAGCCCTCAGAGGATATTGTTTGGGCAGAGCAAGGGCAGCAGCCCCGCTCCCTTGGCCCCACAGCCACCATCCTGCTCCGTAACATGACCCTCTTGGGGCAGTCACTATTTATAAGCCTGGGTGAGAGGTGCTGGAGATAAAGATGAGCTCCCCAATTGTTCCCAGGCTTTGGAATTTATCCTTGCAGCCCTTTATCTGGACACTTGTCCCTGGCACTGTTCTAAGCACTGCTTAACAGAGCCTAAAAATGTTCCCAAAATAGCTTTGGGTTTGCACACCCTTATCTAGGCATGAGTGGGCAAGATGAAAATCCATTGGGTTCTCTGGCTGCATGTAGGGAATTTGGCATAAATATGATATTAATATATGCCGTCAGCATGTGGAAAATACAAAAATATTCACTTTTGAAGCTTCCTTGACTACTGAAGCGATAGATGTGGTGTATGTAAATTAAATGCGTTGTAACTACAGAGCGATATTTTTATCATAGAGATGTCTCTTGACCTGTTCATAGTGCCCTCTGGACATGGGTGCTGTTTGCAGATTTATTCCTCTTTTCCCTCCACATCATTGCAGGGACAGGTTTCTCTGGCTGAAGTGTGGGAAGGCAAGCTCTGAGCTCAGAGGTCACAGCACTGCAGCAGCCGTGGTAACACCAAATCTGCTGTATTTTGATTTTATCAGCTCTCCTCTCCATCTATCCCACGGTTCCATTTGATGTCAGATAGGGGAAATTGAAATTCTTCAATTTTTTTTCCAGGTAAATGTTTTCTTATAGTTAAAACTGTGTGAAATAGATCCACAAAAATGCTGTTTGTCTCAGCTGTGCCTGGCTTGGACTTGTTTTGCCTCTGTGAAGGTGCTGGCAGTAAATGCCCAGGACTCAAGCCTCACATTTACCTAATTATGGGCATGTGGTCCCTGTACAATGAGGAGAGGGCCGGTGCCTTGAGTCACAGAGAACGTATTTAATTAAAAACCTTCATTAGAAAGGCCTGGATTTTCTTTGATTTTACAGGTTCCATTTTCCTCCCTTTTGGAGGTGTTGGTTGAGGGACTCAGCCTTCCCTGAGCCTTTTCACACTGTCAGGATCACTACGGGGGTTCCATTTAACGAGGCTCAGGGCTAATCAAAGGACAAGAAAGGTGTGAGCATTGAGGGGTTTTTTCTTCAACTACCTACCAAGCGCTATATTCCTTCCCTCTAAAAACCTCGTAATTAAAATAGGACTTCTATGATGTATTTTTTGTGCGCTTGGTTAAAATCAAAGCTGGTCAACTATAAATTAAAAAAAAAAATTAAAAAGGCACCAAAAAGCTCTTACTGTAACTCCAGTTATGGAAGGGATGCAGTAGCAATCCACACAATCCGGAATCTATTTTCATCCTTATTCCACATGCACATCACTGTCTGTCTACGTTACAGAATAATGCAGTGTTCGTATTACAGACCAAATAGTTTGGGTTTACACAGAGAGCTCAGCATGCAGCTGTGGAAGTTAAAATAGCCATGAGGATGCTCCACGTTCCCCAGTGCATAGCTCACATTCTGGATCCTGCACAGCAGATAGCAGGAGCAGCAAAGCTGAGGAGAAGGTTTGGATATCATTTAGAAAAAACAAGGGTTTTTTTAAATCACCCCAAAAAATATTCAGCTAAGGAGGGGGAAAACATACCAATTGCAGAATTATAAAGTACCAGAAAGAAGAGGCTGAGGTTTAACCCATAAAAATAATGTTTCCTTCCTGGGAAATGCTGCTCTGCTAGGTCTGGGCTAAAACCAGCAGCTACCTCTTAAAGTTTGAATGTTTGGTTGAGATTTATAACTTCACCTGTGAGGCATCTCCCTGCTTTACAGCAGGGAACCAGGGGACTACTTGTAAATAATTTAGCAGCACTGTTGAGAGTTTCACACTTGTAAAAGGAGTGTGAAACCTCCAGAGCCATCAGCGAGAAAGGTCCGTGTGTCCTGGATGAGGATGTTGACTAAAAGTTGCTGCCCTATAATTATTTCTTATTTGCATTTCTCCGTTGAATTAAAGCTATCAAGGCTTTGGGGAACCTACTATAAAATCCCCAAAAATCCCTTTAAACCCCTCTCCCCAAACCGCAGTTCCAAAGGGAGGCACTTACCGCTGCCTTATAAATGTCATCCATGGCTGGAGAGGGCGGGTGAGGGTCCGAGGGATGTCACGGTCACACTGTGCTGGCTCTGCCCCCGCTGGCCCGGCTGATATAGGGGGCTGCCCGCCCCGGGGGCTGGGACCAGCCCACCGGCAGCCCCGCATGCCCGGCCCCCCAGGAATGCCTCGCCTGCATGCCTTGGGATGGGGACACCGCCGAGCCCGAGGCTGGCACGTCCGGGGCCAGCCCCAGCCCCGCTCCGGGGGCAGCTGGAGTTTTCCTCGTGACTTTGTTGTGGGAACAAGCGAGCACTTTCAGCCAGTGCTGCCGAAATTGCTGATATGTAGCGGTACTTAGCTCTCCTGACTGGACACGTGCCACCATGTCACCTCCACCTCCAGCGTGTTCCCCCTGGAAGCTGCGATAGAGAGATTATACTGTGCCTAATTAAATTGGGTGATACGGGAAAGGCATGTCTCCCAAAATGTCCCTGTCTAGCAGCAAATGTGCCCCCAGGGCAGTGGGAACAGAGGGTGTCGGGGCCCCCTGTCCCCTCTGCCGGGTGTCACCAAACTCATAGAGGACAGGTAGCCAGGGCTGATGTCCTGGGAGGAGCCGATGCCATGTGCGGGCGGGTGCCAAGGATAGGGGGAATTTGCACTCCCAGTGCCACGGAGAGAAGTGTGGAAGCAGATGGAGCTTTACCTCAAGCTTCTGTTTGCAGCTGGGGCTGAAAATCGGGGGATCAGTTACCAAAAAGAGGGGTATCAACTCTGCTTGATTTCAGGGATAATTCCTGTTTTTTTTATGAGACTGGGACTCACTTCACCCAACCAGCAAGATGACCTGTCCCCACTGCAAATGGCTAAAATCCACTCTCCTGGATTTACAGTGGATTTACCCCACCACCGTGGAAAGCAAAACACACCAAAAACCTCCAAGTGATGAGCAGCGTTTTCTCAGTCCAGGAAAAAGCGATTTAATCCAGCAACCGAAATCAAACCTCTCCTTTTAGTGATTCAGGACTCCCTCTTGTGTCCAGAGGGGCTATGGATGGCTCTGGCACCTCAGGATACAAAGTCCCACCTCCAGCTGGCTCGTACCAGCCTTAGTTAGCAAAACATAAAATAATATTGGTGCAGCTGCTAGGTTTCATCTTTTCTAAAATCCCTTCTCCGTTTAAGAGGAATCATACTGCATGGAAAAACCTGCTGTCCCTGTGGAATGCCCAGCCAAAGCAGCGTTAATCAAGGACCCTGCTGGTGTCAGCACAAAGTAAGGATATGGGTGAGCACAGAGCTGTCCCCACACCACATCCTCCCAGGTTTTGAGTCCTGAAGGATTAACTTGTTAGGAACTGTGGTCCCGGGGGTACCCACTGGCTTTGATTTACACAGCTTCAGCCCAGATCTGCCTCCAGATGGAACAGCAAGGAAAATGGTTGCATTTAAGGAATTAATTTTTGAAGCAGTTAGTCTTGAGAATTGGAACATGTTAATATTGGTTGCCTTGAACACAGAAAAAGCAGGAAAAGCTGTAAAGGGAGGTAGTTATTTTGTTAAAGGGCATTGGATCCTGTCCTTAGGTGAGGGCACAGGGTGGGATGAAGGACCTGCTGTCACCCACAATTAAACCATCCCACAGAACCTCCTGGGCAACCTCATAGAGACCTTCCCAATGAAGTGCTGCCCCAAAGCAAACCCGTGCCCCTGGCTGCTTTCTCCCCTCAGGATTCACTGCAGATGCCAGCACTGGGCATTAGGAGTGTGAGGAATCACGCCTGGCCCTGTCCCTCCATTCTGGGAGGTGATGGCTCTGAGTCACCCCTCTGAAAACAGCCCCTGGGATGCGTCAGAATGTATCCAGGGCCAATGCAGAGCGGGAATGGGAGCTCTAACATGGCCTTTAAAAGGTTGTGGCTGCGCTGCTGGAGCAGCTGGGATGAAATTCAGGTTGGGATGTGGAAGAAGGGTCTCTGTCTGCTTAGAGGAAATCTGGGCCACTGCCACCATACACACTGACGTGGGATGGCTGCACTTCTGCAAACGTCTGATACGAACAGGGACTTAAAAAACAGAGCTGTGCCTGGAGAGAAAGGATGAAATCCATCTGGCAACAGGAGATGGTGTTCCTCCCAGGGAAGGAGGCACAGGCGAGGGGCATCATGCCAACCGCTGCCTCCCTGCCTGCTGCTTGGAGCCAAAGCTTCCAGCATCCCCTGTCTCCTCGAAGTTCTTTGCTTACAAAAGAATTGGGGTTTTGTAGAGAAACCCAGAGCCTCTGCCATGCACAGGGCAGGGGGAGACTGCTACAGGTATGGAGTGACCTGGGGATTACCATCCGCTCCTGCTGCTTCTCTTGCCTCTCCGTGTGAGACCCAGGGCAGAGATGGAGCGTGGCTATCTATAGCCTGGGGAGGGCTGCCAGCTCAAGTGCCCTTAATCCGGGCACGGCTGGCTCAGTGGCACACCAGCTGTCACTGCGGTCAGGTACAGCATGTCAGCCTGGGCTCCAGCTGCACCCTGACACGCTGCCACACTCATCAGTCAGTCCAAGGTACCAAGACAAACAGAAGGCTTTACTTCGCTTTTTTCCTTCAAAATCTCGGATTAGGTTTTCATTTCCAAGCAGCTGTAATCCAGGGCAAAACTCGCAGAGGCATCCTTCAGGTCAAATGCAGGGAAATAAAAAGCAGGAGCCCAACTAAGATGCAATTTTGTTTGGGGTCAGGGCCGTTTGCAAGGCTCCTTGTGTTCTGTTGTAGTTCCAAACTGCAGTAAAACTCTCTAGTATCCCCCTTCCCTGCATTGAGCACCCACCACCATTGAAGTTCTTTAATTCACTGCTTCCTAAATCCACCTCAGAGAGTTTTAGCTGAATAAGCCCCCATTTGCTCCCTTTCATCTTCTCTGTGAGCCAGGACAGGGCTGTCACACCAGGAGCCACCTCTGTGTCTGCAGGCAGGAACTGCTTTAGGAGGAGGAGAAGGGAACTGATGACAACCGACAGGCGCGCCAGTGCTGCAAATTGTTATTTAATTAAGGAGACAGGACATTGAGAGGAAGTTTAATTAAAGTTGCTCTCCAAACCCACTTATTATCTCATAAAGAGGCTGAGCTCAGCAGCAGCTCCTGATGCTGGGACAGCAACAGAAAATCCCTCTTGGTTTGCCTCATCTGCTACCCTGGTCCTGGAGGCATCCAGGATGGTCCAGACACCAGCATGGGCTCTGCAGGTCCGTGCATCCAGCCAAGGCATTTGGCACTTCTGGTGTTATTAATGACACCATACTGAGCTAATTGCATCCTCTCTGAGGTAGCATAAGGAAAGACAGAGAGGTGTCACCTTCATTTTACTGGAAGGTCCTTTTTTTCCCCCAAATCTCCTGTGACTTGATGGTGCATAATGAAATCCTTCCATGTATAATGTAGTGCGGTTTCTTCCAAAGCCTTGATGGATGCTTGATGCACCCCTCTGCCTAAAATATAACCTTTCTAGATAATCTTTCAACTTTAACAGAGTCAGAGACTC